CCCCAAAACCCCAAAACCCCAAAACCCCAAAGTGAAAAATAACTAAGAATAATTTCGATGATATAATGAAATTGATGTGGTAATTAATTAAATTCCTTCACTAGTGGTTCTTTTAAGAAATAGTTTTTGCTACAGTAACTTGCTTAGGTGGCTCTTCACATGTATGGTAGGACATATTTGAAAAGATCTTCTCGGTAGAGTTACTGAATTCCATAATTGTCTCTTTATGTATCTAAATCTATATTTGTCCCTTAAAATATTTACCTTCTGCTAAATTTGCTTTGTTTTTATTAGGCACTTGTCAGCTATCATTTATAGTTATTCTCTTGACTTTTCTTCATTTTTGATATTCTCAGTCTAAATTTGTCCACATGAGAGCCTCATTTAAATGATAAGATTTATTTTACCAATCGTTAAAAAGAGATAAAGCAATTTGCTACTCATAGCCATTTACTAATATATCAGGGCTTATTAAATTTACATCTCTGTTAAAAGCCAGTTAATAACAGATAACTCAGTACTGGAGTAGCCCTAGAACTTAACTTGAAATTCAGTTCTCTAATCAAATTTTATTCCAACTTAAATATTTCGTCTCTAAGTTAGTAATACTAAAGCAAAATTTAGTAAGGAATAGCAATCTCATTTAATTTCACTTACTCTTATCAAATTTAATTCATTGGTTTAGGGCATAAATTTGAATTAATTTTTAGAGTAATCAATAGAAATAGCTTAGCTTATTTCCCCATTTGTATTGGTTCTTATGAGCCAAATACCATCTTCAATTTCAACTTTCGGCTCTTGATTCTCTTTATAGTCTTGCAGAATCCTTCTGACATAATCAGATTCATTGAATTGGTAATAGCATATGTTGATAATATCTCTTATTCTGACTTTGTCGAATTCATTGATCTTGGAGGATAGATAAAAAGTTGTAGAAATGTACAAAATTAATTTATCTTTATCTAAAAGTTTGATGTAAAGGAATATTCTGACAAATTTTGTTAATAATTATTCATACCTAGGTTTGTAAGATTCTCGTTTTCAACAAGTATTCTGACGAAAAGTCCTGCATCTAGGAAAACATTAAGTGGAAGTTTTAATTTGATAGATATATGGCGCATGCTATATATTAGTTCAGCGAGTTCCTTATTATAGTATTCTGTTTCCATTTAAATCTTTAATATTAAATTATTGAATTATACTATTAAAAAGCTTAATGGGGTTTTGGGGTTTTGGGGTTTTGGGG